GAGCTATTGACTTTAAGATCGGACTTCCTTTATTTCTCTTAAACAGGGAATTGTTAAATATTGGCTTGTTTCTTCTCTGGTTCTTCACACATGTACTGTGTTTTTCAGAATGAAAGGTTCTGTGATTGGTTAAAATGCTTTTAAAAATAAATATTATACAATGAGCTTTTTACATGTAATGCAGATGAGATCAAGGTCTTCAGTCATTAACAGCATTTATGAAAAGCCACTTCAGGAACGGTGGCAAGCATAGATATATCGTAGCGAATATGGCGTCTTTCCTCAAGGAGCTCAAAGAAGATATGAACTGGAAATTTTCATTATAGTGAAAGAAATGCTATAACAGGAACCTCATAGCACTGGCATTCAACAGAAGTTTCCAGAGATGTTTTAGTGGAGACTTGAAGGATTAAATAAAAAAACTAGAGCACTGGAGGTGGAACAAAGCAGGTTATTCCAAGTGGGAAAAATAGCATGATGTGACATTAGAAGAAGAAGTTGCTGTGGCACATTGGTAGACCTACGCATTTGAGAATGGTGGAAGGTACAGACTGAGAGGAGAGAGAATCAAGGACAAAAATCATAAGCTTTCTAATTACATTAAGGTATTTGGAATTTATGAAGGTTTAATACAGTGTAGCTGTGTGACGGAAGTGGAAGGCAGGAAAACGAGCCAGTGGTTTAGGAAAAGATGATGGGATGTGAATAGTACATTGAGAGAAGCCCCGGGGCGGGGGGATGATGGGAGGAAAAAAACAGATGAACTTAAGAAATTCTAACTGTGGGCTCGAGGTGGTGGTATACTCCTGTAATTTCAGCTACATGGAAGGCAGACATGAGACAATTATAGAGTTTGAGGACAGCTCAGGCAAAGTTAGAAAAACTATCTTAAAAACAAGAGGGTTGGAGCTGGGAATGTAGCTTAGTGGTAGAGTACTTGCCTAGCATGCATAGAGCCCTGGGTTCCATTCCTCAGTACCACATAAACAGAAAAGGCCAGAAGTGGCACTTGGCTCAAGTGGTAGAGCGCTAGCCTTGAGTACAGAGAGGCTCGGTGACAGTGCCCAGGCCCTGAGTTCAAGCTCAGGACTGGCAAAAATAAAACAAACAAAACCAAGAGGGTTGTAGTTGTGGCTTAAGGGGTAGAGTGCTTACCTAGTCTGGTTCAAGGGCTGGGTTCAATTTTCAGTACCAAAAACAAAATAGGTGGTAACCAGATAATTTTAAAGAATTGTAGAAGTTAAGATCAAAGTCCAGTTTTTTTTTATTTGGCACCATATTGAAGAATAGGAACAGACATAGGAGGGGTGAAGAGCAATAAGGTCTTATTGGTAGGCAGTAGTAAAGTGATGGAAGTGTAAAAAAGAAATCACATTGTAAAACACTGAACCAGAGAGTGGTCAAAGGTCAAGCTCACTCCAGTGAGAATTCATTCCAGGAGACCTGCATTCCAATGGCAGCACTTCTAATGACCTAGAAAACTCCCCACCAGCCTCTGCCTTTTGACATCCCTCCATCCAATACCACCTCACTGAGGACCAACCTTCCAACACAAAAATCCTTGACACTACAGCATAAAGAAACCACGCCCAAACTACAGCCATTCTTCTCCATCACCTTTTACTTTCTCCCATATTATGACAAATACATTATCAGACCATAGCTGTGGCCATTCTGGTCATCACATTGTTTAGTGATGGATCAAATAATCAAGCTCCCACCATGCACCATGGCACCCGGGAAGAGAACAAAAGCCTTTATTCCTTCTCAGGGAGCATGTTTACATTTTCTGAGGATAGCCACTTAATTCCACATTGATTTAGGGTGGGGCATTACTGATTTGGAAATGAACATGTATTTTTATGAGTAGTATACCCATGTAACCTATTACAATCATTGGTTCCTGTCATAAACTTAAAAAGTGAGCAGTAAACTAGCTTCCTTATGGTCCTTCCAGGGATATAAGAAGCCGACTTGAAAACGGGCCAGGAAAGCAGGACCACTGAGCACCAAAAAATAATTCAGATCAGGGTTAGTGGAACTTGGGTGAGGTTAGGGCAGCAGTCTGAGTTCGTTGCTTTATTAATCTTCTTTACTATTACTAACATATAGCTCTTTTAAGCTTAAAATTTGCTCTGAGGTGATTTTTTTTGGGGGTGCTAGTTCTGGGGCTTGAACTCGGGGCTTGGGCATTGTACCCAGTGCATTTTGCTCAGCTAGCACTCTACGTCTTGAACCACAGCTTCCTTTCTGGCTTTTTGGTGGTTAATTGGATATAATGGCTGAGAAGTACTAGGGACCGTGAATTAGACATACTCTCAACGTGGGAGCTGTTATTAACAAGGGGTGAAAAGTGATTCTTGGGCTGGGGCAAAAACTTAGATACTACAATGGTTGGTTTCCTCTAAAGGTTCACAGAACATAAACAGAAGAAAAGCTATATTTGTGACATTCACATTTCTTTGGGGAGCTTATGATAGGTAAAAATGACTTTAGAAGGTTTGCAGAGTGGTATTGAAGGTATTGAAGGAGGGGAGTGACCATGGCAGAGATAGAGAAGCTCGGTCTTGGTCCTGTGGAGAGCCTTCTGACATTTACGACTGGCCCTTGGTTTCCACACATATTAAACAAGCTTGCCAGCAATCTGCTTCCAGTTTCAGAAAGGACCCTCCCCATACCAAAGGCTGAGTGACCATGTTTTACCAGATCTGCCTGAATTTGCATGGACATGAGCCATGACCAGTTAGAGCACAGACTAGCCCCTGAGTCACCAGTCCCTGGCCATCCTTCATTTCTTCTCAGTCTCTTCTCTTTTCTTCATCTGTGGTACAGGAGTATAGTATGGTATGGTATGATATGGTATGGTATGGTATGGTGCACTATACTTTTAGAGTGCCTACCATACTACTGTCCTTTGGATATGGTACCCAAAAGAGTGGATACCAACAAAGGTTACAAAACCTCTCAAAGTGGGACATTTGGGCTAGTGGCATACCCATTTGAACAGGAGCGGATGAAATGAGAAACTCACTGGAGATATCACCTCTTTATCCTGGTTAATCTCGATGAGGATTTCTTAATAACTGTGCTATTTTGGACAAGTTAATTCCTTAGTTTGGGCCAGCAATCTCATGCTTTGGAGGGCTTTTTGCTGCCCCCCCTGCCATCTGCCTGATGCCCACAGGACCCCTCCAGGCAGAGTGTCCCCAGGTAAATGTATATATTAAAATCATTTCTAGACATTTCCCAGTGTCCCTGGGAGACAAAATCATTCCCAGTTGAGAGCCATGGATGTAGAGAACCCAGAGCGGTTGGAGAGAAGCCATCTCCTCACCACATCAATACGGGAGATGCCATCCAGGGCTCCAGGTCTGCTGTTAGCCTGGCCTTAATGAATATTCTATTTTCAGAAACGACAGAAGGTGGCTTGGTGACAGCTCACATTTAGTGAGTGCTTGCTAGAACATTCTAGTTTTCCTAGCAATGTGGTGTGTGTGTGTGTGCTGCTGTTTCCAGACACCCTACAGTTGAGGAAGTGCCATGTGGAACTGTTGAGGAATCTACTGAGGTCATCCAGGCAAAAGAGTTTTCAATGTCCCGCTATCCTTCCTGGAATGTTTGGACCTCTTTGTCCTTTATGAGACCAGCATAGAACCAAGCACACAGATAGCTTCTCGTTAGACCCATACTGACTTTATCTATGGTGATGTTGGCGTTTCCTGGGCCCCTCTGTCCCCAGATCTTTGCATGGCATGTGCTCCTTCACTTACATGTCTCTGTACAAGCATCCTTCCATAGGGATGGTCTCCTACACTGGTGTAAAAGGGCTTGCTCCTTCGTTCCCTAGCCTGCTCCCAGCTATCATCTTCCTTGCAGCAGCTGACACAGACTTGTTCATTTCTTTCCTCACCCCAACAAACAATATATATATAATATATAGTAAAAGACAGGGGCCAGGTGCTAGTGGTCACACCTGTAGTTCTAGTAACTCAGGAGGCTGGGATCTGAGGATTGTTCTTCAAAGCCAGCCCGGGCAGGAAAGTCTATGAGACTTTTATCTTCAATAAACTACTAAAAAGGGGTGGGGAGAGGAATGGAGCTGTGGTGAGTGCTAGCCTTAAGCAAAAAGAAGCTCAGGGACAGCACCCAGGCCCTGAGTTCTAGCTCCAGGACTGAAACACGTAAAACTAGATAGATAGATAGATAGAGAGAGAGAGAGAGAGAGAGAGAGAGATAAACAAAAATCTAAAAAGACCTGAATGATGACTGTGACCTTAGGTAAGGATCCTGAAAGACAGAGTATTTACTCCTAGTTACTAAAATATAAGGGGACAGTCCAAACTGTATTTTGTATTGTATTTTGAAATTTTAGTATTAAGGCCCAGCAGCATAATACATCAAAGTCTTGTATTGGCGAGAAGACGCTGAGAAGGAGTGATATCGAAAGGGGCCCAGCCACCCCTGTTACTCAGAACGTGCTTCGTGCCTATGGGCATGGGTAGCCGAGGGGGTGAAGCCCACAGGTCAACACCCAGCGCTGGTGGCTTCCTGCCTAGAACCCACAGGGAATCCTGAGGGCTCGGCGCTCCTGTCTCTGTGGGGTGTGCTGGTGAATTCTTTGGTGAAAGGAAGCCCGCTCCCTGGTTTTTACCCTCTCTCCCCTTTTCCCCTGGGCAAGCGGTTTATGGACTTGTTCATTCATACTGCTTGGCGTTTTGAGGTGTCCAGACCACAAAGTCTCTGAGGTATGCACATTTAGGAAGGTCAAGAAGACAAGGTAGGCTGTGCCCCTATTTCATGGGGGGATCGTGCTGCTCACGGAAGCTTCTGGAGTCCTTTTCTAGGCAGGAGCACACTTGGCTTCTCTGCCTTCTGGCGGGATTCCTCTGCGTGAATGTGATCGAGGCCCAAGGCTCCGCACACGAGGCTGCGGGCTCACGGTGAAGGCTCGGGTGAGGGCTCTGCAGCATGGGGTGCGTGTGGCTGGGGCCAGGGCCGCCTCAGCCCTCCCGGGAGACCTTCGTCCAGGGGTTCTCGGAGGAGAGGACTTCCAGGGACAGGTTGGCCTGCTCTTGTTTGGATCCCACCCGAAGGTAGCCCAGCAAATCCATGGCGTCGCCGCAGACTTCCTGGAGTCGGGAGACCTTCTCGAAAGGCAGGGACCAGCGCCAAGCCTGGGAGACATTCACGGCGTCCCTGGCGTTGGTTTGGAAGGCGCTCTGGCCCAGGCCCTGGCCGCGGGTGATGTTGTGCACCCAGGTCCGGAGGTGGGGCAGGAAGTCCAGGCCCGCGAACTCGTACATCCGGCCGGCCTGGGCCAGGGGCGTGCGCGCCAGGTCCTCGTAGCGCACGAGCAGGTAGCGGCGCCGCAGCGCCTCCGGCAGGGCCTGCGCGGCCCGGAGGATGTCCCGCTGGCTGTTGCAGATGATCTGCATGGCGCGGTAGGCCTGCTCCTCCCCCCGGAGCTGCTGCCCGCGCGGCCCCAGCACGATGCGGCTGTCGATGCTCAGATCCCCAGCCGTGTGCTCGCGCGAGCGGAACACGGCGCGGGGGTCGCGCACCAGGTGCACCAGGCGCAGGTCGAGCGCCGGGTCGGTGAGCAGCGGCTGCAGCACCCGCAGGTCGAAGAAGCGGACCTCCTTGAGCACCACGTGGCTGTAGGTGCGGCAGGCCTCCCGCACGGCGGCGAAGGGTTGGCGCGCGCACAGCGGCCTGCACACCGACCCGCTACTGATGGCCCCGCGCGGGAAGGCGCCGCAGGCGGGCGGCGAGCACAGCGCCCGGCTCACCGCCCACTGGAACAGGCTGGACTGCGCCCGCGGCCCCGGCGCCAGGTAGGCGTCGAACACGTCCATGTCGCACAGGAAGATGGAGCGCACCAGGTCCCGCACCGCCATGTGCAGCGTCCCCGCCGTGCTCTGCGTGAAGGTCATCCACACGTGCCAGGCGGGCTCCATCAGGTAGAAGACGTCCGGGTGCTGGCTGAACAGCTGGCCCACGAAGGACGAGCCCGAGCGCCAGGACGACAGCACCAGCACGTGCACGCGCTGCGCGCGCTCCCGCTGCCCGCCGCCCTCGCCCTCGCCCCTGTACGCGCAGAGCAGGAGGAACAGCAGAGCCAGCTGGGACGCCAGGAAGAGCAGGAGCCTCAGTTTTTTGGACAGGGCCATGGTGCCACCTGGGACCCTGCAGGGAAAAGCAGAAGGGGGCGAGTTAGGCCATCCCGGAGCCCATCTTCCCTCCCTCTTGTGTCGCTAGGCCGCGACCGTGGGCCGCTCCGAGGGCAGCTGTGCCCTTTCCTCCTATATGCGTTGAGGTCTCTGATTCCTCCCTCAATTCTCTCACCCACTGCACCAGCAATGCCAGCTATGTCCAATGGAACCAAAGGAATGACCACATCTTGGACCAATGCCTGTGATTCCCCTGAAGTGGAGAACGAGCCACCCCAAATTTCCCAACCCTCCTTATATTTTCATTTTTGTGTGGGTCTTGGGGTTTGAACTTAGGGCCTGGGTGCTGTCTCTGAGCTTTTGTGCGCTCTACCACTTGAGACACAGCTCCACTATACTGGCTTTTTTTTTTTTTTTTTGGTGGTTAATTGGAGATAAGTCTTATGGACTTTTCTACCCGGGCTGGCTTTGAACCATGATCTTCAGATCTCAGCCTCCTGGCTTGCTAGGATTACAGGTGTGAGCCACCAGCACCCACCTCCAGCCTCTATTTTAGAGGCACGATACTTATCATTTCAATCCAAGTGCCCATGACACGTGCCACTGAACATCATCTCCCCTGACTTGGTCTCATCCTGTGTGATTAAGTAATGGAGGAGCTGTCCAATGCCGACTTTGTGACTGAGTAGATTCCCAATTCTTACTCTCTTTCTGTGGAGGTATCCTCCTTTTACCAGATGACTCTGAAAGTATGGTCAGCTACAGCAGTGAGACTTGTGCCTTTTTTTTTTTTTTTTCGGTCGTGGGGCTTGAACTCTGGGCCTGGGTGCTGTCCCTCAGCTCTTCAGCTTAAGGCGAGCGCTCTACCACTTGACACTTCCGGTTTTCTGGTGGTTTATTGGAGATAGGAGTCTCACGGTCTTTCCTGCCCGGGCTGGCTTTGAACCGCGATCCTCAGATCTCAGCCTTCTGAGTAGCTAGGATTAAAGCATGAGCCACCAGCGCCTGGTGACTTGTGCCCTTTTTATCACTGTGCTGCTACTCGGGAAATGGTCGCTTGACAGTCCACCCAGGGCTGTTCAGTATCTATCACTGAACAACCTTAGGGAATGCCATCTCATCAGGAATTTGGATATTTATTACAAAAAAAATCCTGTAGATGACAGTAAAACTATCTTGACCCAAAACATTATACATGGCCTTTAAGAATACATTATAATGGCCTTTAAGTTATTACATTTTTTTAGAGAAAGTTTCCATCTTCTAATTCACACAGATTGGTAGAAACCTTTAACTTATCCCTTCTATAATCAGGGCTTCTGAGAAGACCAGGTTCCCAGGGCCATACTGGTGTGATTCCTACAGATATCAGCCCTCCTTCTCCCCTTTGGGGTGACTTTCTGACATAAATAGCTACCAAGAATTATAATAGCTATTAACCATGATATAAATATTAATAACAGCAAGAACAAATTTGCTTATCATTATATGCCCCAGAATTTCTCCTTTACAGTTTTCATAAAGAAGAGAAAGGAGGACTTGGGAATGTGGCTCAAGTGGTAGATCTTGCCTAGCAAGATCAAAGCCTTGAGTTCAATCCCCAGTACCTCCAGCAAAAAATGAAGAAGAGATATAATGTTTTCAGACAGTAATCAGAATTGAATATAGGGTTTACTCTTTTCTGGTGGCAAACCTTATCACTTTTTTTTAAAGGGTTTTGGTTTTTGAGATCTGTCCATTTCTCAATTTGTCCCTACTAGTCACTGGCTTCAATTACAATGTATACATATTCTTAATTTCTTTCCCCTTTTGGGGACAGCCCCCCCCCCAAAACCCCAAACCAAACCAAACCAGTAAGTTTGCTCAGCTTGCTTTATTTACTTGTCAACATGTCTTGAGGAACTTTCAGGACAGTACTTAGAGATTTCCTTGTTCCTTTTATCAGGTTCGTTTCTACGGTGAGGAAATTCAATAGTATATTTAATCTAGATGCTTCCTCATTGATCAGCTTTTGGGCTTTTCCAATCTGGTGCCATTCCAAATGCTTCAATTATGATCTTCATGTTTGTATACCAGTGCACATTTCTACTGGGATAAATGCCCAGTGGTGGAATGGCTGAAGAGTAGGTGCGTGTGTACCTTGGAGACCCACCACCCTGGGAGCCTTCATGCTACGCATGAACCTTTCCACGGCCAGGGCACCAGAGATCTGTCCCGGTGGATTTTAGAGGAGGAATCAGGCAGCCACAGATGTGACTCTTGAAAGTTTATACCTTCCTCAAGAGGTAGACCATGCGTTGCCAGCTCATGGGCTTCCTTTGGAAGTCCCCCAATGTGTCACCACCGAGCCAGATCCTGTGTGGCAGGGGCCGGATGCCCTCCCCCACCCCGTCTCTCCCGTTCATCGCAGTACTTTTCCTCTGGGTGTGCCGGGAGGATCCAGTGAGGGGGCCACTTTGCCATCTTCCCCCAAGGATGGCGATGAGTGGTCATTTCTACCTATTCCAGTGAATGAAGAGGACCAGCGAGGATATGCTCCTAGTCCAAGAAGAAAGGATGTAGGAACAACCCCATCATTACTGATACTATCCCAAGGCTGCCCTCCCTACCCCTCCCGTCCCAGAGATAGAAGATGTGACTTGAGCAAGAGCGCTGCTCCTAGAGGGCAGCGTGAGCATGAGAAACCCAAGTATGGAGTAAAGACAGGAGACCAGGGGACGGCAGGGAGAAGAAAATGAGAAGAAAAGTTGATCTGTGCACACACTTAAGGAGACTGTGATAAAACTTCACAAGCAGGGCCTGTAGTCTCTTTAGGACAAAGCTAACATTTCCTGGGGATTAGGAAAGCAGATCTTTCAAAGCTTACCTTCCCTCTCTGCCCTACCCTCCCTCCCTCCCTGCCCGTCTCTCTCCCAGCTCAAGCCAACTCTGTCCTGCCGGGTTGGCTCCAGGAACGGTGCCCTCCTTGTGTGCAAACTCTTACTCTCCCGTCTGTCCTTCCATCAAGCCTGCGCTGGGCCTCCTACCATCCCATGTTGCTCTTGGGAGTTCCTGTAGCCACCCTCTGACTTCTGATTTTTCTTACCATGAGCACCCTCTCTGGCCAGAGAAATCGAATCTGTGAAGCACGTCCCATCCCTGGGCACCGGGCTCTGGACAACATTTGGTGGGCTGTCTATGCAGGCGTAGCCCATCTCTGCAGAGACTGCCATTGGCAGTGGGGGTGAGTGCTCTTGGGCCCTGGCAGAGGAGAGGAGTGTGGGGCACCTAAGGAGGCTCAGGGAAGAACAGGAAACACCCCAATCCATCACATAATTCATTGTGCCCTTCCATAGGACCAGTTCCTAGTCTGCTCCCCTCCCCTCCCCTCCTTTCCTCTTTCTGTACTGGGGTTTGAATTCAGGGCCTTGAGCTTGCTGGGCAGGTGTTCTACCACTTGAGCTATGCCTCTAGCTCTTTTTGCCTTCAGTTAATTTTCAGAGAGGGTCTTGCCTTTTCTTTTCTCAGTCAACCTCAGATTATGCCTCAGATTATGATTTTCCTCTCTCTGCCACACAAGTAGCTGGGACTACAGGCAGGCATTATTATGTCTGGCCTCTCAAACTTTTCTCTCTCTATTTTTTTTTTTGTCGGACTTGGGGCTTGAACTCTGGGCCTGGGCGCTGTCCCTCAGGTCTTCAGCTCAAGGCTAGCACTCTACCACTTGAGCCACAGTGCCTCTTCCGGTTTTCTGGTAGTTAACTGGAGATAAGAGTCTCACAGACTTTCCTGCCTAGGCTGGCTTTGAACCATGATCCTCAGATCTCAGCCTCTTGAGTAGCTAGGATAACAGGCGTGAGCCACCAGTACCGGGTCAAACTTTGCTTTTTTAATGCACAAGTCTGTCGTTCTTTTGCTTCAAAAATCCTTCAATAACTTCGATAACAGACAGGATGAAACCAAACTTGTCAGCTTTGTTCGAGTCCTCAATGGCCGCGCTCAGGTTTCCTGCCACTTCCCTCCTTTTGGTAGCTCAGGCTTCAGACCCAAGCTCTCAGTTCGTCTAAATCTGCCATTTAGAACAAGGGACATTCAACAAGACTGCCTCTCAAGAGGCCCCCACAGGCTTCCTCCTCCTCTAAATAAGGTAATCTTCCTTCCCTCAAACATCCCATTCGTGTCCGCCTTACTCCATAGGAAGCAGCTGTTTCTGAACCTCTCTTCCCATTAAGTGGAGAAACGCTGTGTCTTATCTCATTGAAAGGCACATGACAATTCTATGAGTGATTGTAGCCCCTTAAATACTTGCTGGATGAATGAAGTTAAGAATTTGAGTGTAGGAAGAGAGATAGTCATTTTTAGAAAATAGAGAAGCCCTGGCCAGGCATAGTGGAATTCATCTGTAATCTCAGCCACTCAGAAGGTAGAGAGGGGAGGATCATGGTTTAAGGCCAGCCTGGCAAACACATTAAGAAGACTCTGTCTCAAAAACCAGGGCAGCCAGGTGTTTGCTGTCTATGATCCCAGTTATATGTATGCGGAGTAGACAGGAGCATTACATTCTGCCCCTACCTACCTACCCAAGCAGCAGTAACAGGGGGCCTGGCTCAAGTGGTAGAGCTCTTGTGTAGCAAGCATAAAGCCCTCATGATCTCCATTCTCTCCCAAATAGAAAATTTCATGAGCTCCTTGAAGAAATGGAAACTTAACCTTTTCAAATCTGCACCTGGACAGTCATTAAGCTTTCAGTGGTGTCTTTATGCACTGAACCTGACAACCATTGGGCCAGGTGCCAGTAAAAAGATGCATCGCTTTGCTGCATAGGATCTAGCATGCTTCACCTCACTCTAAAACGTGGTGTGTACACCAGACAGTGATATTTAAAACTAGGAGAAAAACCCATAAAATAATTGAAGAAACTTTCCACTAAAAAGAACTAAAGATCTCATTGCAGGTAATAGCAAAAAGCAAACAACCCCTCCTCCCCAACCTCAGCCCATCCCGTTGCTCCCACCCAAAAC